GAGTTGAATACTTGTTAGCTGTAGCATTTCACATGCCATCTTTAGAATAGCCGAGCCTATCTTAGTTGCATTCTTGCATGTGTTGCGTTAGGCATCTCAGCATAGTTAGGATTCATGCATGATTTCTAATTAGCTTCTTTCTTTGACTCGGAGTACTCGGTAAGTGTTTATGCTTTAGCATCCTTGCATGTGTGTGAGTGACTTCCATGATAGCATGCTTACCATGAGACTATGTGCTTATGTGATATACATGCCTGAATGCCTGTGGGTGAAGGTTGGGTTATTTGGATTGGAACAATTCATTGGCAAAACCATCTTTTCTAAGCCTACCCGAGGGTGGCAAAACCTGCATTTTAAGCCTACTTGTGAGTAGCAAACCATTTTCAAAACAAACATGAGATGTTTTGTTCCAATTCAGGCGATCCAGTCTATACTTGTATGCTGTGCGCATCACATAGTAATTCTAGGCTAATAACTGGAATAAGAGCACATATGTTTTCAAAACTCGATATCATGTTTAGTAGAGGCCGATCTTTGATCGGGCGAGCGGGGGTGCTCACAAAGTGACCTTTCCCAATCGTACCCAAGTTCCCGAGCCGAGACAACTTTAGTGATGACGAACACGTGGCCTTAGGCAAACGAGTCAGGGTTTCCTAAATTCCCCAAAATAAAATATTTAGGTGGCGACTCTGTATCTGGCAAAGCAGTCCATGTTTGGCACTTCTTTCAAAAAAATCTGTTTTAAAAAACGATTTGCTGGATTTGGACTTTTTGATGATCCATCGGTCTTGCGTTGCACTCTGCGAGATTAGATACAGAACCGTGACATTTGAGTCCGAACTGTAGTGAGCCCAAATGAACAAAACGGGGGGATTTCCCCCCGGGACGTTCGGGGACATCTACAGCTGGTCAATCTTGGGTAGAGGAAAACTGTCTTTGGGAAAAGCTTTGTTTAAGTTGGTAAAGTCCATGCAGACCCTCCATTTGCCATTCTTTTTCTTCATCACTACTGTATTTGATAGCCATGTTGGGTAGTTTACCTTTCGAATGGCCCTGGCCTCCAAAAGTCTGTCTACTTCCTCTTCCACTACTTCGACGTGCATCAACGTCGGTCTTCTTGCTCGTTGGATTACAAGTTTGGCCGACCTGTCAACGTTCAGTCTATGGCAAGTGACCTCGGGGTTAATGCCAGGCATCTCGTAAGGCGTCCAAGCAAACACCTCAATATTTGCTCTCAAAAAAGCTTTCAACTCTTTTTCCTCTTCTTCAACTAAGCCCGTGCCGAGAAGAAAGAAGCGTTCTTTATCCCCTTCCTGGACGAGGATTTTCTTCAGTGCTTCTTCACTCTTCTTGGCTGGCTCCTTGCCGACATCCTCTAAGACCTCTACGTCTTCGTCTTCGATCTCTGCCTTCTCTAGTTCTCTTATGCTGCAGGTGGATTTCATTGCTGCCATGGAGCAATTCTTTGCTTGCAGCTGATCTCCTCTGACCTCTTTAATCCCATACTCTGTTGGGAATCGTAATAGTTGATGCAGTGTTGAGGAAATAGCCCCATTGCATGCAACCATGGCCTTCCCAAGACGTTATTGTAAGGGGAGGATGTGTCGATTACGGTGAACTCTGTCTTTATCTTTTTGGTGCCAGCCTGCGCCTCCAAGCTCGTCGTCCCCAGTGGCCTCCGTTGAACCCAATCATTGGGCTATTGGATTGCTTCATATCGTCTGGGTGAAGGCCAAGCTCCTTGTAGCATCTGACGTACATGATGTCACAAGAGCTGCCTTGGTCGATTAAGATGCGCTTCACTTGGCATTCCCCAACCTGGAGGGATACTACCAAGGCATCGTTGTGTGGATGCTGCACCATCTCAAGGTCAGCTTTAGTAAAGGACACTACTGGTCCTTGGCACTCTTCTGCCCGATGTCTCTTCTCTCCGACTTGGTAGACATGCTGTAGGTGTTTTACCTTCTGGGTCTCTCCTCGAATCTCGTTTTCGTTGACTTTCGAGTGAATTACATTAATTACCCGAGGTCCTCCTGCTTGAGGCTGCTGTGTTGGGGGATATGGAGCTGCTGTCGCCTGAGGCAATCTTGCATGTTCTTCCCTTGTCCTGGCCTCATCGACAAAGTCTCTCAGGTGGCCTTGCCTCACCAGGTCTTCTAAGTGTGTTTTCAGGGCTCTACAACCTTGAGTCATGTGCCCATCTTCATTGTGGTAAGCACAATGTCTGCCAAGGTTTCTTCCCATAAACTCTCCTGGTGCCCTTGTTGGTGCTCTGAAATAGGTTTGGTTCCGAATTTTGTCCAGGACTTTGTGAATTGGGATTCGGAACACAGTCGTAACTACCTGTGTAGCCCATAGTCCGATCTCTTAATTGCTGGATCCATTGTTACCTCGGCCTCGCTTCGGCGAGCCGTTTCCTTTCTCTTGCTTTGCCTCCTTAGTCCCCGATGTATCTTCCTCGGCTCTGGCATACTTCTCGATTCTCGCCATGAGCTCTTCCATACTTTTTGGAAATGTTTTTGCCAAAGATTTTCATAGTGGACAGTCGTCTTTTAGGCCGTTCTTGAAAGATACGACCGCCACCTCTTGATTACACTCCGATATTCAGTTGAACACCTCATAGTACCTTTTTGCATAGGCCCTAAGGCCTTCATCCTTGCTGATCTTCGGAGCCATCAATGCATCCACTCTTAATGGCTGCAGCTTGTTTGTCACGAACCTAGCCACAAACATCTCGGCCAGGCCTTCCCAGGTCTTCACACTTCCCTTCGGTAGTTTGTGAAACCAATCTGATACAATCTCCCCGAACGATGAGGGGAATACTTTGCAGAGTAACGGCTCGTTCCCACTATACAATGCCATTGAGTTCAAGTATAATCCAACGTGAAAGTTGGGGTCTGACTTACCATCGTATATTTGGAACCTCGGCATACTGAATCTCTTTGGAGCCTCAAATTTGTCTAACTCCACTGAGAATGGTGTTCTTGGCTTTTCAGGGGAAGTTACCTCAGCATCGGCATTCTGCTACTTTCTTTTGAGGTAATCTCTCAAGTCTTCTTTGCTCCGCCCAGGAGCTCGGTTACCTCCCGACTTTAGTCTTTTTGGCATACTACTCTCAACCTTATGGGCCCTTTTCGATCTTTCTCCGTGAGTTGTGTCGAAGCAGAGCGCCTACCCCTGAACATGTCGATGTTCTTTGGGGTCTGCCTCCTTGGCGCGATGCGTCTTTTGCGACTCTTCTCTCCTCGACTCTCCTCGTCCGACTTCCCTTGAAGGCCGGAGAGAGTGTTTTTCACTCCTGGTGTGCTGGGGGATTTCTGGGATTAGTTTCTGCCCTCCCTTTTGTGCATTGGCTGCTGGAATCGGCATACCCTGCAGCGGGAACGGTGGCTGCATGACATTGTTTTGCATCATAAAATTGACGACCGATTGCAGGTCTGCCAATTTGTTCGCCATCTCTTTTACTTCTTCGTCCCTTCGAAGGCAACTATCTTTCCACACTTGGAGGTCGTCTTCGTTATAATACCTGCTTTGTTCTGGTTTCTTTGGTACGCCGTCGTCCTGGCCGACGTCTTTCTTGCTGTGATTCTGGTTCTGAGTCTCCTCGTTGCAACCGTCTTCCTCCACGTTTAGGTCAACGCGTTTTCCGTTCCCAGCAGGGGTTTCGTCCCTAACCTTATCCTTTTGTCCGTCACTGGCCATCTACTCTCCTTTCTTTCCCACAGAAGGCGCCAAATTGTGTGAGTGATTTTTTGACCACACTGCCAACTTAGTTATTCAGCTGGAAAGTACTGGCAGAATAGATGACACCTGGCTGACCTATAACAGAAAGAGAAGATTCCGGCGGTGGTTCGTCCACCTGGGGCACTCCGACGATCAAGTTAGTATATCTTTCAAAGATAATCAATAGTGCTAAACTTGCTGTTCAGAACATAAATTACGTACCTTTGACCCATCGGGGGTGCATTTCTTTTATAGGTACCTCAATCCTAGTCCCCATAGAAGCCTGGCTTCAGTGGACTTCTGCTCTGTGCTTATCCTGGACTCTAGAGATAAAGATAAACTCCCTAAGAGTGTTATCCTTATCCATGCTAAAGTCCTTCCTCATTCAAGGACTCTTATCCCTTATCCGCTTATCTCGGATTCCGATATCTTCGGAGATAACCTCGGCCTTGCCGAGATCACCTCGGCGTCATAACCTGGACATGTGGCACCTCGGCTGACACGTCGGCATCACCTTGGCCACGTGTCGGGATTCAGAAAATATATCCCTACATATGGTGTATTTGTGTCGGCTAGGTGTTCGATAAAATGCCATAAACAGAGTATTTGTGTCTCTCTCTGTTTCTATCACTGTGTCTATCAGGCTGGTGTAAGCATCTATTTTTTTTTGTGTTTTCTTTTTTATCTTGACTGAGTTGTTGAAGCTATAAACAAACCTATGTAGAAACTGTAAAGAACTTATTTGGGTCTTTTTTTCAAGATTCATAGTAAATTTTTTTTTTTTTTTTTTGGATCTTGACCGAGTTGTTGAAGCTATAAACAAACCTATATAGAGACTGTAAATAACTTATTTGGGTCTTGTTTTTCAACATTCATAGTATTGACAGTGAAACAGTGACTATTGTACTAAAGTGCCCCGTTTCCGTTTGGGAATAAGTTTTTTTAGCTTAAAATCAAAAAGTTATTACAAGTTGTTATATCACACTCTTTATTTTTCTACACATATTCTCGTAAAAAGCCAAAAAATCAATCAAAATAGCCAAAAATTCAATTAAAATAGCCAATTTTCAATATTTACCGTACCATTGCAAAAACCTGTATCTTGTTTGGTACAGGATTGACAACTTCGATTCAAACTGATAACCTACGGTTCATGGCATGTTTATCATGGCTCAAACTTGTCACTCATATTCTGTTTCCTTGAGACATTAATTTCTTTAGTTTCCATTACTGAATCTGAAGACATTCATATAACAAAATAATTATATCTCACTATCTACCTCAACAAGTTCTTCATATCAAAGCCGTACATCAATTTATTTACTGGTGACCAAAAAATAAAGATTTCATCTAATACAAAGTGATCAGCATACCTCTTTTCATTTTTCAAATTGAAACCAGCTTCTTCCTTTGATTTACACAAACTAAGGATAATAATCTTATTAAAATATGATCTGAAGCATCATTAATCCCGCCTGAGATTGCTTTGTTTTACCGGTAAGGAGAGCTACTGCCTTGTAGTTTTATGAGGGAATGGTATGCTCCGCCGCGCCCTAAAGAAAGCAGATCAGAATGTGAGCCTTGCTCCACCACTTTCCCTTCCTTGATCACTGCAATGGAATTGGATTTTTGTATTGTGGATAGCCGGTGAGCCACCACAATACATGTTCTACCGACCATCATCTTATCAAGTGCTTCTTGAACTAAGTTCTCCGATACACTGTCAAGCGCGCTAGTTGCCTCATCGAGTAGCAGGATTGACGGGTTCTTCAGTATCGCTCGAGCTAGTGCTATTCTTTGTTTCTGGCCTCCTGAAAGTTGGATCCCTCTTTCTCCACAGTAAGTCTCATATCCATCTTTCATGCCACTGAAAATAGACAATAAAAAATCAAACCTTTACTAGTTCATGCCTTTATAGAAGGTAATACTTAAGCCCAACTAAATTAAAGTTGAAAGCTTTGTTTGGATAAATGGAACTCAAATGAAAGGTTTTAAGGTAAACTATGTAAAAATTGAATTTTATAACTTTGCATACCTTATAAATTCATGTGCATTGGCAAGCCTTGCAGCCTTCCTTATCTCAGATTCCCTAGCATCTTTTTTCCCATAGGCAATGTTCTCAGAAATAGTTCCTGCAAACAAGGTTGGTTCCTGGCTGACTAGTGCAATGTGTGATCTCAGGGCTCTCAGATTATAGTCCCTTATGTCCCGTTCATCTATAGACACAGACCCCTTCAATGGATCGTAAAACCTCTCAATAAGCCCAATTATGGTGGATTTGCCAGAACCACTCTGCCCCACACCACTAGTGCTACATTAGTTCCGCTGCTGAATTTTTGAGGCTCAGCCCCTTAAAGATAAACTGATCAGGTCTTGATGGATATGCAAAGAACACATTTTTCAGCTCTACGCGGCCCCTAATTGACATTTTATTTGCATATTGCTGCCATGAGTTACCTGGGTCAATTTCACTAGTCCTGTCTAGTATTTCAAAAACTGATCTCACAGCATTGCTTCCTCGAGATAAATCTTTAGTCATGCTCCCTGCCTCTGCAATGGTGTAAGCAGTGAATAGCAAAACCAAGAACGCTTGAAAAAGGCGCTCTGGAGTTATCAATCCTTGCACTAATAGTCTCCCTCCATACCAGTAAGCTAAGGCTGTAGAAGCTATTTTCAAGAATTGGGAGCTAAACAGGCCGAAGCCTGAAAACCAGGACTGTCTAATACTCTCCTTCTTAGGGCCTTGTAAGGTGGCTCGAAAGAGTCCCAATATTCTTTTCTGAGAAGAAAATGCACTTATAGTTCTATGGTTAATGACAGCTTCACTCGCTAGTTGGCTTCCTTCCTTCTGTGCTTTTCGGGCTTTTTCAGACATACTCTTTAACACAACACTCCTTGCATAAAAGCTGCCAATGAGTAATGGTTGTGCTGCAATCATCACAAGGGCTAGCCTCCATGTTAGCACGAGCCCCAAAACATAAGCAAAAGTTGCTCCGAAAAATGCTTGAACCAGCAATGACATGCGATCGCCAACAAGGGAACGGACAATGTTAGCTTCGCTGGATAACCTTGCACAAATGGCTGCACAAGTATTCTCATCTTGATCGTACCATCCAATCTCAAAAGTCATCAATTTTTCAAGCAGTTTCTCTCGTATCCTTTTGGTTAATTTTTCCCCCATTATTGCGAAATTGTAGTGTTGAAGGAGATTGGTAACCAAATTGAAAACCCCAAGACCTAAGAAAACAAAAGAATAAATTCTGGCATCAGATCTCATCTTAGATTTATCAGTGTGGAAGTAAACTGAGATTAATGCTCCCACGCAGTAAGCGTTTATGGGTTGCACAGCTCCAGAGCCAATAGCCCCTATGCATCCAAGCAAGGCTCTACCCCACTCCGGTTTATTCATTTTTAGTAAACGCCATTGGGAAGGAGTAGGTTTATGCGGTTGGTCCAAATTTTCATCGTCACTATCATAAGAATCGTTGAATTGGACAGAGTAAGGTGCACTCATGGAAAATGCAGGGCTAAATGGTTGCAATACTGGGGTGCCTGGAACACTTGATCTCGTGCTCATTGGGCTTGATGGAAGAGCCATCCTGTAGTGATTTTTTATATCCCGGCTGCTCATGCTCAGTGGGCTTGGTGGAACACTGTAGTGATTTCTTTCATCTTCTTGATGGGAAAATTTTGACACTTCATTTTGCATAGTTGATTGCTGCAACTGCACCATTCGGTAGTATTCCCCACCCCTGCCCTCTTCACCATTCATTTGCACCAGTTCATCATGTGTACCTGATTCAACTACTTTCCCTGATTTTAGAACTACAATCAGACTAGCCATTCTAATTGTGGAGAGACGGTGCGCAATGACAATGGTTGTCCTTCCCACTGACGCCTGGTCAATGGCTTCCTGCACTGTTCTTTCAGATTGTGAATCCAGTGCACTTGTGGCTTCATCAAGCAGCATGATTTTGGGTTCTCTAATCAAAGCCCTGGCTATGGCTATCCGTTGCTTTTGCCCTCCGGATAATTGCACTCCAAACTGTCCAACCTGAAAATCCAAAAGAAGAGATTCAGGGCACGAGAGTTCTGCTAAAGATCTAAATTTGGCCATTTCATAGAAAAAAAACACCAGTTATTGAGTTTGGTGGGTGGAATTCAACTTACTTGAGTTTCATATCCATCTGGCAACTTAACAATGAAGTCGTGAGCATTTGCGGCTTTTGCTGCAGTTACAATCTCGTCCATTGATGCTCCTTCCTTCCCAAACAGTATATTTTCTTGTATGGATGTTGCAAACAGGATTGGTTCTTGATTAACCAGACCCATTTGTGATCTGAACCATTTAAGATGGAGTTTTCTTATTTTGTATCCATCCAAGAGAATCTCACCTTCAATGGGATCATAAAATCTTTCAAGCAGTGAAATGATGGTGGACTTCCCAGAACCGCTGCCCCCAACTAGGCCTACAGTTTTGCCGGCTGGAATTCTAAGATTCAAACCTTGTAAGATTTGAGTGTCTGGTCTTGATGGGTAACTGAAGTAGACGCCTTGGAATTCTATTTCTCCTCTCACATATGATAAAGCCTTCCCCTTTTTATCTTCAGAGTCAATGGCAGGTTCCCGGTTGATCATCTCAGTAATTCGAGTTGCAGCAGCTTTTGCCTCTGTTATGGCAGTGAGATTTGGAAGTGCGGTTAAAATATTCCTGCAAGAGTGAAACATTGAGTTTGGAAAGGAAATCAAGTTAGAGAAGTCCATCATCATCTTTTGCAATTTATATCATGGTTTTAAATATCATCGGATTTTTGTCTTTCCGATACTGAGTGACCACGGTATACTGGTTAAAATGAATATTCCATGTGTATCAGCCAGATCTCCATATGTATCAGTACATGTGCAATTTATGAGCCGATTTACAGCTGATACGACTGATTTGGCTGCTATAAAACTCCATTTTATGACTGGTGATTTCAAAATATTCACGACTGCGACACACAATACTCTGATACTGTTACTTGATATCATGATTTATATAGAAGTGATAGAGATTTATAAAGAATCAATAGAGCAAGATGGCATGAGATCCTCTATCCATGAAACCCTCTGTCTCAACACATTCCCAGCTATGGGATCATGTCTCGAGATTCCCATGTCTTGAGATTTTCACATGATCTAACTATTGGACATGCATTAGGTCAGAGGGATTTTTGTACCAAGGATCCCTAGCCATGAAAGATACATAGTAACTCACAATCCTCCCATAAGAACATTGAATCCAGCGACAAAAACATGACCACCCTGTTCTCCTTTCTTGCTAACCAGAATGGATCCAAACCAAGCCTGAAATGCCCAACTAACATAAATGACTCCCATGCTTCCCATCATCAAAGACCTTGCAAAGCCAGCCTTGATTCCTAGCTCCATAGTTTTTTGAAGTGCTCGGCTGAATCTTTCTAGTGTTTGATGTTCTCCAACATATGAATATACAATTCTTATAGAAGAAATTGCCTGTTGTACAATCCCACCAGCAACCCCATAAGATTCAAGCATCTGCATACTCACATCCATCATGAGCTTCCCGAATCCGAGTCCAGGGACGATGAACATTAAGGTGAATGGAATAGCAGCCAAAGTAACCTTCCATGACAGGACAAAGGCAAATAGAAAGCAGAAGAAGAAGCTTGACATGTCAGCAACGCAGTCTGGTATCTACAAGTAAGAAACAATCAGATTTTAGTTACATAAACAAGATGGAGATGAAGAAGAAGACGATGATGCAACCAGTTTTCTTTGAAAACCCCCATGTTCGATTGGAAATAGCCCAATGATCAAACATCAAAGCATACAACTTTGTTTTGATCTGAACTGGTGTGATCTAAGCTCAGTCTTTCATTTAGCTTGTCATTTTTGAAACTTTCCTGGTTTAGGAAAGTTCTGTTTTAGCAATTACTTAATTTGCTTTGACATGTTTAAAATTTAAGCTTCACTCAAATGTGCTATTATTAGGAATGTTTTATTTTGTGTATTTAATTCATAATTAGTGCGGAAAGCATTTAATTATTTGTTTCCTAATCATGTTAGAAATTGCTTTGGTGTAACAATTTTGGCAATTATTATTATAATTTAAAGAGTTATCTTCTTCCGAGTGTTTTGCTATTGTTCTTGGTGCATGACCCCTGATTCAAATATATATATATATATATAAGACACTACCTGGCATTACCATGTGGTGTCTTACATGTTATTAGGTAAAATACCAACATAAATATGATGGGCTTACCATATTAACAAATTCCATTGGAACAGGAGACCAGTGCGAGGCAGTGGCCTTAGATTTATCAAAAAAATTAAAAATTAAAAATTAAAATAAAATTTGAGGCAGTGGCCTTGGGACGTTTACCTTAAAGGCCCCATTATTTATTTATTTATTTATTTATTTGTGTGTGTGCAATTAAGATGATAATAATGAAATTATATTGAAGGCCCATTTAAACTACATTTATTTTTCTTCACCTATTTTGTGTGTGTGTGTGTGTGTTTTTCTCTACTCCTCTTCATAAGGGGTGTAAGCGATTTAGTTTGGTTTTGTTGGGTGTAAAGAAAATTTGACCCCAAACTAAATCCTTCAATTTTATTCATTGAGATGCTGAAACGATCACATTTTACAGTTTCGTTTTGTTGGTTTTCAATTTTGTAAAAAGTAATGGAATCTCACATAAAAAATAAAAATAAAAAATAAATTTAAAAAAAAAAGAAAAGAAAAAACCAGAAAGGAGAATGTGGAGATGCTTAAAAGTCTCCCATTTTATGAATTAAAAGGCACATTAGAAAAACTTGCAACAGATTAATTAGTAATTTTGCATTACAAAAAATTAAAAAAAATTAAAAACTCAAATCAAACAAAATGTAATATTAAAAAAAATTATTGTTAACATTTAAGAAATAGGACTCAATTTAAAATTTTGCCTTAGGCCTCCATAAAAGTTGGGCCGCCCCTGCAGGAGACTGCATGACAAGCACCTACCAGGTACCCAATAATTGTTCCCTGATTCTACGGGAAGATCCATTCTTCTCGGACCAGCTTCCTTCCAATTTGGCAATAGGACTGATGGTCCAGTTAAGCGGCTGTGGGCCACTTTAGGCCCACTTCGATGATTTGAATCATTCATATTTTAGTTTTTTTTGAGTAGATTATTCATGCAAAAAGCAAGTTGATTAGATATACTTAGCCGTATAATTGGATCATATTTGCTTTTTTTCATAGCAAATATGATTCCAAGAGTACATGGTCTATTTTTTTTTTTATTATTATTTTTTATTTTTTTATGACATGTGATCTAATCATGTAGCTATTAATATGCGATCAAATTAATTTTTTGCATAGATGATCTACTTGGCGGCCACTAAAAGACGTATGATGTGGATCAATGAAGGAGGCCCAAAGTGAGCCCACAGCCCCAGTCTAATTGTTGGACTGGAGGGAAGCTCCATTCTTCTCTCTATCATCTGCATCATTAACTTTTGAAAGGATACATCTGTCTGTTTATTTATTTATTTATTTTTGCTTGGAGTAGGAATATCATGCACAGCTTAATAATCTTCATCACAGAAGTTCCTTATCTTAACCATATATGTGGTCATTAATTTGAAGAGCCATGCAAATTATTTTGTTTTATGTGTTCATTTTAGAGCATAATGTTTCACTACTGTACTTCTAATCTTCATGTGGGATTTGTATGCAGCAAACAAGAATAAAGTGGTAATGAAACCTTCTCGCCAATTGTGACTTGGATTGAATTGGAATCGGATGAGATGGTTGTAATGACTTGGAAAGTTATTGAAGAATCGGCTGCTTGGGTGTCGAAGAAACCAACTTCTTGTCTAAGCACAGATTTCAGGTATTCTGTTCTCATTCTGGAAGTCTGTCTCTCAGCAGTTCTTGCCCAACAAAGTCCTTCTGCAAGAGTACATATGTATATGCCAGCAGAAATACAAAAAAGAAGATAGTCAAGCAGTATAAATTGAACAAAAATACAATAACACTGTGCACTGAAAAAGTATACAGAAAAATTATAACATATTTTTTATTTCGTTCTAGATAGACTGAACATTGCAAGAGGTATACTAGAGGAATAAGAAGTGTAACGTACCAACAAAAGCAGATAGTCCAACCCCGATAGCAGCATAGAACAGTCTGAGCGCAGACTGCAATATAATACAGTAGTACCCATTAGAAGAGACTTGGAATTGATATATTGCTCTAACATTAATGAAGCCTCTGATTCTCTGAGGCAAATCTGTAGTTATTGTCATGTGTTCTCTCAATTTACCTGATTCTATTTTATATCTTAGAATTGCAAAATTTATATACCGAACTAGACATGAAAATAACATGGGTAGACTGATTTTTTTAGTAGTGACTCCGAGTTCTTTGTTTGTTTTATATGTTCCTATAATTACTGATTTTACAAGTGCCATTGTTGTTGTTCCATGCATGTTAGTAGTGTGTGAAAAGGAATGAAAATTCTATGATACACACTCCCTTTTGAATTGTGTATCATATGCTCCAGTTACAATATTTGTAATTTTTGGTTATGACCTATTGTAGTGTTAGTAATAACTTGATTATACACATTGTAGTGTTAGTTATGTCTTATTGTGATATTGGTTATGATATTATTTTTTGTTATGATCTAAGGGATTTTTTGTTATACTTTGTGGTGTTTGGTTATGACTCATTTTTTTAAAGTTATGACTAAAAAAGATTCAGTTATGACATGTGTGGTAATCAACCCCACAAATATCATAACTTGCATATAATACACACCCTCATAGCATGACCCTAAAAGGAATGATCTGTATACATACCATGTTCACATTACTGTAGGAGACACTGCCACTGGTATTGTGTTTCCCATAGTCATTGATCACTTTGCTGAGAACAAACATCATGAGAGGGACCTGCAACCCATCTCCAATGCTGCCTAATGTCCCCAATGTCATTAGCAATTTGTCTGTTCGATCCGCGTACTGGAACATTCCATGCTTTTTCCCCATCTGATCCAATATTGCCCCTTCAAGAGCAATTAACAACCCTTCAGAAGATACAATTCCCAACCCACAACTCGTTAGTCTATATGGCCCAAAACTTAGCTAGCTTTTATACATGCATGATCAAGTGCATTAGACAGGTACCTACCAATATCTGTCAATAGTGGACAGTATCGATCAAATATATCAATTAATATTGATATCGAAAATAAAAAATCCCAATACATATCAGTCCATAGGTAAAACCTTTTTGGTGCAGGCCTTGTATCGCCTGTATTGTCTTTTACGCTTAGTTGGAACATCAAAGGCAGATGGAGTGAATTAATGCAAATTTTAAAAGCCGGCTTTGTTTGTTTGCTTTGTTTAGGCAGTGGATTTTGGTTTTCTATAATTCCAACAAAGTGTTGATAGAATATGCAGCTGTTGATTGTTTACTGTTTCTTCAATTCTTAGGAGGAATGAAAAGGAAGCTTGAACTTTGAGTGATTTGGGGTATCTGCTCAATGGAATTTTGGTACAGCAGGTGTTCATCATTGTACTCCTAACATTGTTTAAGTTTCACCAAATAAGGCACCTACCTGGCTATGTTGGGAAATATTTATTTAGTAGTTTCGAACTATTATGTGACGTCGTTTATGTGAAGTGAAAAATTTTACGAGGACATGCTGACTCATGTAGTTAAGAGACAAATGATGACTTACTTAGTGTTTGTTAATGGTTTCTTGTTGGCTGCGAATACCATGTAGATAACGTCACAAGGTACTCCAGCACTATCTAATTTTTTTTTTCGAAATGAGAACTTATCTAGTAGATTTGACTTACTACGTTGCTATTACATCTAAAAAAATGAATATTGAGTCATCGATCATGAGTATTCATAATCAAAACCACTTTTTATCATAAGTAAAATCATTTTGAAGCATAAACAATACTTCATTTTTGTGTGTGTGTTGGAACTGAACATTGCCTAACCTCATAATCAAGGCTGGCATCATCATCGCTTCAAATTATAACTAACACCAATTTGATTTATAAGTTTAGTAAATGAGAGTTCTAAGGGCATGTTTGATTGGGTGGATTAGAGCATGGGATTAGGATTATTAATCCGTGGGCCCAATTATCTCATGTTTGTTTTAACATTTTGGTTTAGGATTATTAATCCAATGGATAATTAATCCAACAAATTTATAGGATTATTAGTAATGGGGTAGTGGTGGGATTATTAATCCAATGGATATTAATCCAATTGGATAGTGAATCCTACACTAATTTAATAGGATTATTAATACTTCCCTATTAGTCTTTTGAATCAAACATGACCTAAGAGTATTGATTAACAAAGTTTAAAATAATTTTATATTTTTTATGACCCATACTTTAATTAAAAATTGTAGAATCATTTTATCATAATAATTAGGCATATTGTGGTGCATAGTGTGTAACCATGGAATTGGCCCATTTTATGTTTAAAAAAAAGCCATTGTTTTGATGACTAAGTCCTCTCCATCCATGCATGAAAAAGGCCAAAGAATAAATCCCAGCAAGGGATTATCACCCAATATAGAATTAATATTCCATCACCCAATATAAAATTAAAAAATGGTCATCTATCAATTGTTCACTTCTCCTTTTCCATTGTTACCATTTTATTCAACAGTTCTCTACTTGCAAAAAAAAGTGAACGATTGTGAAGTTTGTAATTGTTAATTCTCGATAAAGTTGACTCTGCCAGCCAAAATACTATAGATTACCTTTTCTTTTGTTATTGTGGTCTCATTTAAATCATCTTTAATCTGAATTATTGGAGAAAAAAAGACAATATGGGCCAATCACAAGTCTGAGGTTAATTTGTCATGTAACAGACACTGTTTGAATGAGGACAACATCTAATGGTTAAACTTGCTGAGAATTGTAATCCTTTTTGCTATTCATTTGGCAGAAAATATTCTTCCAAAACAAATATGTTTCATGCTTGGTTGTAATTGGAAAAATGTTATGATAGTGGTGCTGTAGGGGTATGATCGTAGCTGTTGATTGAGTAAATGCACGATTGAATGGATTAGATGGCCAGTGATCATCATTAGGTTCAATACACCCATTTGTTGTGAGGAGAGATCCTCACCGTCGAAGTATGATCTAGCGACCAGATTTGAATTGTAGCTGATTGGATGCAATCAAGAGTCATGACCCATCCGATCAGGTTTCTGGATGCTCATATAAAGGCTAGTGATCCAACCATTCAATTATGTAGAATTCATAATCAAGTTTTGCAGTTCAATGTCTTTCTCTCTTGTTTTGAGGTTTTTTTTTTTTTTTTTTCCAAGAACTTTCTTCTTCTGGGTTATAATTTTTTGTAGATATTCATCTTTGTTCTCGTCAGCGCAAATGGAAACAGAATATCCAGATTAAGTATAAAGGACAATCATAAACAAATAAATACTACTAATAATAAGTTAGTGCTATAAAATAAAATAAAAAAGTTAACAAACCAATTCATAGATCTGTCCGATTAAAAGATTTTCGATGCAGCCAGACAAAGGTATCAACAAGTTGGCTTTCAATTTTAGGACCAAAAAGTTGGCCTAAAGCCACTAACCAAAAATATAAAATAAAAACAAAAAAATTGGTCTAAACTAAAACACAAAAACAGATTAGTTTAATCTGTTCTGCTGATATAGTCTTACAGATAGGCGCTGTTTGGGAAACACAAGTTAAGGCTATTATAGCCTCATTTAGGATATAAGTCAAAAAGCGTGAACAGTAGGCGGCGGTGCAAAATTCAAAAAAAGAAAAAAGAAAAAAAAGAAAAGACTGTAGCTCGGGTCAGTTGACAGATTGTAAAATCAATTGAAAAATTACAATTTCACCCCTTTATATCAATTTAAAAAATTATAATCTTACGGACAAATTTGTCATTTTAATTTCAAATATCATTTCAACACATTTTTCAATACAACAACTCAAATAAAAATCCATCTCATCTTTCCAAACACAAAAACTAAAATAGCCTATTAAAATAGTCAAAAAACCAAAAAGCCTCTAAAATAGCCACTTCCCAAACGAGGCCATAAATTCAGTGGCAACTTTTTGTTCCTAAAACAAAAGAAAACGATACAAATGCATAAGAGAGAAGGCTTTCGGTAAACGAAGATGCAATTGATTTTGAACTTATCTTTGTGTTTATTCTGTGATTTTTCTGTAATTCTTTGTTACGAAAACGAGAAAAAATCCAAGAGGAAAGCTAGTGGTGAAATGCAAAGCTACAAGCAGATGGGTCACACACCCCTTTAATGATCGGCACACACGATACCGGGAGGCTATAACAATGACATCGATATGACCCAACCAAGGGTTAGCCCTTTTGTTATCAAGCTCTAAGACCAAAAAGTAGTGCAGCAAATTTATCAAAAACTAGAGTACTTTTCAATATCAAATTTGTAGTTGCTTCACTTGACCGGCAGACAGCTAATAAAACAATTTTTTGTTACAAAGAACCAAAACTGATTGACAGGGATGGATTGATCATGGAAAGGAGAAAAATCTTCATCATTTGTGTTATATTTGAATTATTCAACTAAAAGTGCGACTTGGCTCCATGGCATATGTGGATGATATGCCCATGCCTCCAACCTAGGTCTGCCAATGGATCAGATATATAATCTGAATCTGATCCAAAAATCTTAATTCATTAATGAATATCCAATCTGATTTCATACAAATCCAATTATTAATGGACTGGATTCAGATCAACACGATCCAATCCGATTATCAGTCCGATCCGAGAAATCAAGTTATGTACTGACCTTCCAAATTTAAATTGCAAGAATAATCCTATGATATTATTTGCACCATAAATAAAATTTCTGTCAATTATAACTAGGTTTAAACTTTTTATTATTATTATTATTATTATTATTATTATTATTATTATTTATTATTATACAGGAAAATCTTGAAAGTTAAGAGAAGTTAAGTCAAGTTTTGAAGATTCAAGAGATGGAGGACAAGTGGCAATGTAAGAAGGTGAAAATTATATAGGTCGTTAGATGATAGTTAATAGAAGTTTTTTCTTACATTTTTTTTTTGGGTATAAATTGCCATTGATGGCTTTATTGTAAAGGGGACCAACAAATCAATACATGACTTGATTTTCATTTATTTTCTATCCTAGGAGTAGATCTAATCTACATAGGAGTAGCCTTAATGTACTTTCACTACAAGAATTCACACTTTTGGCGACCAAAAAAATTTTGGTCACAAAAAAATGACATTTGGCGACCAAATATTAATTAGTCGCGAATGATCATTATTTTTGGCGACCAAATATTATTGGTCGCAGAAGGTTATATTTTGGCGACCAAAAAATGAGTTGGTCGCAGAAAGTGATATGCTTTTGCCGACCAACTACAAATTTGGTCGCGGAAGGTTACATATTTTTTGGCGACCAAAAATTTGGTTGCCAAAAACTTATTTTCAGCAACAAAAAAAAATTAGTCGCCAAATTTGTACTTTTAGCAACTAATATTTTAGTCGCCGTTTATTGAGATTTGGCGTCTAAAAAAGTTTGTCGGCGAAGGTACCTTTTCTGCGACTAATACGGTCTTTTGGTCGCCAAAAGTTTGGGAGGGAAATTTTATTTTTATAGAGGTGGGAATCGAATTTTTTTTGCGACAAAAAAATTTGGTCGCCATTTTTTAAACGACGTCATTTTGTACCACGCATTCACCTTCACATGCTCTCTCTCTCTCTCTCTCTCTCTCTCTCATTTCCTTTTGTTTGCATCGCTCTCCTACTACTAATTACCCCAACCCACTCCATCCACCAGCTTCAGCTATGAAAAAGCATATACATACACTTTCAAAATCCATATCATAAATTTCTAGGGTTTGAATTTTCAAATGCAAATCCATTCTTTTTCTTCTTCTTCTTCATAGATCAGAGAGAGAGAGAGAGAGAGTGTGTGTGTGATAAATTGAAATGATAATGCCAAGGCAGAATCGGGTTGTGGAGGGTTTGATTCTCGGATCCTGCAAGATCCGAAAAAGGGGTTGCTCTTCGTCTTCGTCCTCTGTGTTGCAGAATTACCAATTCAAGCGGGCCATTTTGGTGGGTAAGCCTCGGGGATCCAGATCGAGCACTCTGGTTCTGTCTTGGAGGACGGCGGCGGCGGCTTTGGATTCTCCCAAGTACGTGCCGTCGCAGAGCGGTGGTGGGAGGTCGAGGCCAGTGTTTGCGAGGAAGCTGGCGGCGACGCTGTGGGAGATGAATGAGGTTCCGTCGCCTAGGGTTGGGGACAATTTGGAAGAGAAGAAAGCGATCAAGAGAGAGATGAGAGTTAGAGAGAGAATGGGGGTGCCGAGATCGGTGCATTCGGGTTCTCTACCTCCGCATTTGTCTGATCCATCTCACAGTCCTGTTTTAGAGGTGGGTTTCTTTTTCTTTTTTTTGATAAATTTCTTTGATTGCTGTTTGGTTGCTGAGAAAACAGTTGAATAAAAAGGAGATTTTTAAATTTTTTGTTTTTGTTTGAATCAATTGAGGCAGAGCAGAGCAGAGCAGTAGCAATTGGAAGTGTTTGACTAGATTTTGGATCTATTTGGTTGGCTTGATGTCATTTTCAAAAAATGAAAATTTTGAAACCCGTTCAATTGATCAATCAAAATAAAAGCAAAATTTTATTCAAAAAAGAAAAAGAAAAAGAAAAAGAAAATATGTTTTCTAATAATTGTCAATTGCCAATGGAAGTAGATTTCTGAAACTTCAGAAAATTACTAGAATTATGTTTCAACTTTCAAAAAAAAAAAAAAAAAGTCCAACCAAGACTTGCACACACACATCTAAAAACCTATTTTTTTTTATAATTTTCGAGAATGGGAAAAATGTTTTTGAAACCCGCATAGAATGGAGCATTATCTCAGAGGCTCTGAGTATTGGGAATTTGGTGGTTCTTGTGCTTTGGGTTCATTTTTATATATTATTTCATTTTATTGTCTTGTTATTTCATTTTAATGTTGGATTTAGAAAATAAAAAATAAAAAAACATAATTAGGTTTAAGAGCTCCATGTATGTGGTTTGGGTCGATCCCCTTGTGGTTGGTATATTGCTATAGGTGGGGCACCGCTGAATTTTCTGCAGGAATATTTTTCTTTCTTTCTTATTTTATTAATTTCTTTGGGGAAACTTCTTGCGGGGTCATCTTGAATGACTTAGTTGAACCGATTGGAATCTCAATGTTAGTTTTGTTCCTAGTGGAGTTACATTTGTGTTTGACATCCCGTAAAAAGAAGTTGCATGTGTTTTTTACATGGTTATCTAGTTGATATCACCTAGTTTGTAAAGTAAATATTTTTTCATATTGCAGTAGGTGATCTATTCTTTCATATTAACTTAGTTGTGCTATTGTCAATGCTTAGTACCATCCTTTTTTGAGGTTGGAGGAGAAAATGTTGCCTTTAGTAAATTTCCACATTTGAGGGTATTAAACAATGTTGAAATTGGTGATAGAGCTATTGTTGCTAATTAAAACAGAGACTTGCATTCGTATCTATAATGCATTCGTAAATTGGCTGTAGGTACTGTATGCGTTGGGGTCTGCTACCCCCTACAAAAAAATTACGGGAATGTGCTTGGAAAAAGCTTTACATCCAGGTATATTTAGGTTCGACTTACAGCTTTTTGGTGAGCATATCAAAATCCATATAAGACGTTGATTTTTTATACCCAGGCTCTTCTTCATTCTTTTTCTTCTAATTTATCAAGTGAGAGGAAGATTAGTTATTGACTTTAAAGAAACTTGTCTCTTTGAGCTTACTTAGATTAGTTATGTCCAAATGCAGGCAGCAAAGGGAAGCCAAACACCTCTTCCTTCTCAGGGAAACAGGGGTAGATATTGGGCTGAAACTTTTGCCTTCTAAGATTTAAATAGGGTATTTGGGGAATCACTGTCTTTCATTCTTTCTTGTAAACTTTGTACAAATCAATAGGCCTTGGAATCTAATCCATAACTTGCTAATGCATGAATCCCCTTTTTTCCCCTGTTTGGTGGTGAGAGGGTGGGGGTATAGGATTTTGGATATTGGACTCCTTGAAAATATTTTATTAATGATAGTTTGATAACCGCAGACATGTCGCATTCTTTCTTATCCCCCATCTCCCCAAACAACTCTCCAATTCTCTCTCTCTCTCTCTCTCTCTCTCTCTCTCTCTCTCTCTCTCTCTCTTTTCTCAGATGAATTATGTTAGAAGCTTATTGGAGGTTTGCATACATTATTTTTTCTTTGTACTTGCCATAGTAGATGAACCATGCATAGGGATTGACTTCTTCAAATGAGTCTCAATGAAAATTAGCAAATGCATTTCCTTAATTACTATTTATTCCTTTTTCCCCCCCCTCTCTCTTTATATATCTAAAGGTGAATGATGACCGGATTATTCTTGACAAGACTCTTACTGATCAAGTGTCTATATGGAAAAACATCAGAGGCCTGACTGATAAGGTGGTCTTGGACCATGATTGCTCTGGAGAAACATGTACTTACTCACAAATTGGAGATGTATTTGTTTGTGAGAAGACTGGGCAGGTTCATGGTATGAAACACTAGTTGTGGTTATTGAATGTGGCAACCTTGTTTGTTTGTTTAATAGGTACAATTACATAGATTTTTATTAATGGTTTATGTTCTTTGTTCATGCAGTTTGTGATGATACATGTAGAGAAGCTGTTTTGGACCCTACAAATGAGCTTTTGGTTTGTACAATATCTGGACATTGTTTTGATAGATTTCTGTCACCAGCTGAAATGGAACCAGACACTGTAAGAGAGATCTCCTCTAGCTTACACTTTTGGCTTTTTGTCATAAAACACACTTAGACCTGTTAAAAATATGAAAATGAAAAAAAGAAGAGCTAGACCTTCACTGTGCATGTCTATGGCTATCATGTGATGCTGTTGGCTCGTATACTTCACAATACATATATGAACTTATGATTGTTGGACCATCATCTCTTCATAGTGTAATCCTTTTCATTTGGTTAATCATATATGCATGTGTTTCAAACTGCAATCAGTGTGATAAATGTAATTGGCTAAAATCTTGTTATCTCTTTAAAATAATGGTTCCTTCTTTTACTCCTACGAAACTATGAGCAACAGACTTTTAATTCAATAAAAGTCATCACCATCTGCTAAAGAACTAAATAAACTAAACTTCCTAGCGAAAGTTAGCACACGGAAGCTTCTCTTTTATGATTCAATGTTTTATTTTATAACTGTCCAGGAAATAAATATAACTACTTAGTGCTCACCCATTGTTTGAAGTTCAATAATCCTTCACCTCAAGCTTGGAGGTTTCTTCTGGAGACTAAGCTAAGCCTCAATGACTTTTTGAAGCTTATCTAGTGTCTACACCAAACCCAATACCATTGTTACTGCAATCATGACCCATTAACTCAGTGATTTCTTAAATGAACATCCACTTACATGGCATCTGTGTGCATCTTTCTTTTTTGTGATCCAATGCTTTCATTAACTACTAAAACTAATAATTTGTTCTCAATCAGCAGCCCCCCCCCCCCCCAAAAAAAAATACAACACATAACAGATCTCAAAACAAACTCAATTTGTAATCCAAGAGAGTTAAAGAAAAGAAGGTTACCTTTCCCAGTATATCTCCCTTCGTCTATTGCATGCAACTATTTACATGTCCTGCTTATGCTAATAGCCATGATAAGTTGCCATAATTCATTACATACTAATAATTTATTGATTATTTTACTTCTCATAATTTTAATCAAAATACTAATCAAATTCAACAATTTCATCAGGATTGCTGAAAAGGTTAACGATAGATGGGAGATATGTGTCAGTCTTACCGAATGTTGTACCAGGTCAAAGGAAGATCCTTTTCTGTTCTTTCAAGTGCAACTTTGTGAAGGAAGCAAAAGTTGCTCAATTCTCTGGTTATGTATCTGAGCATTCAGCTTACCTTCATGGTGAGCAGAGTCTTGCCAGTACCATTATTGGCATGGCACAAGATTATGTGGGCAGCAATAACTTAAACCTGCTTCAACAAAACGGTCAATTTGGCACTCGCCATCAGGTGAGGAAAGAAAAATATCACTCAATCAAATTCAAACAAACATATTGGACTTAGTTGTTTTGTTTTAAATTTGTTTCCTATGCTTACATGTATTGTTGTATCTTAAAAGGGAGGCAAAGATCATGCGAGTGCTAGGTACATATACACTCAGCTTTCTCCTATCACACGGTTCATGTTCCCCAAGGATGATGATATACTTCTTGATTACTTGAATGAAGATGGGCAATCTATTGAACCTATCTGGTAAGTTTTTTTATCAGTGGCAAATAAACATATGATAAAAACAATTCCTCTGGTGCAAATGTTCCATTCCATCATATAGGCTTAACTTACCATAAACCTCTTTTGAATATTCACTCAGAATTTCTTGGGTAGCTTTATAATAAATGGAGGTAAGTGCTGCTCAGTTAAAACAATTAGCTTTATGACTGGACTTTATTTGGATTGCAGCATTTACTGGTTTTGCAATTGCTTGTGAATGAACAATGCTGTAACATAGCACAAAATAAATTGGGCTATGATTTTATTCATACTTGATGTCCTTAGAAGGAAACTTTGTAATGAGTTTGTCATGATAGACATCACCTGTAGGTTTCATGCTATTTTGTTACTACATTTATGGTCATATTTTTACAATAGGGGTACTCTATCTCCAAGCTCATCACTAGATGATTGCTCAATGCTTATTCATACACCCATGTTGGGCTGATGGTTCTTATTTCCAGTACTGTGGAAAACCTTTTGCCCTATGCTTACCCTTATTTCTCTGGGGGTATTTTATTGATAGATTCTCTAGGAATTGGGTGTTTTAACAAATTTCCGTTTCTCATTGACTGCTTCTCGATATTGTTACACCAGGACTGCTGCTTTTACGACTAGAGTGATTCTGCGATTTATACTATGAAATTGGAGGACACTTTTTTGGTCAAATACCTAGCATCAAAGTCAAATGTTTCTTTCTTATAGTACTTCTGAACAGACTCTTGAATTTGTTTTAAATTCAAACAAACATATTGGAAGTGGGAATTGATTTGAATTTAGTGTGTGTCTTGGTAGGCCTGTTGGGTTATCATTTATCAGGAAATGAGTTCCTTAGCACTAGTGTCATAATCATCATTTTGGCTTTGGGCTTTTCATTGCCTATTAACAATACAAAAATGATTATCCTCCTTATATTTGGATTGGCTATGTGGGCATTCAATTGTTTCGTGGTTTTCTTGCCTTAGCCTTGTTGTTTCTTTGCATGTACTTTGAAGAATTGTATATTGTTCAAGTTAATTATGGTAAGTCTATTTGCAATTGTTGCCACTTTGTTGTTTTTTGTTGACAAATAGTAAATAATTTTTGATCATCATGCAGGTGGATTCTGTAGTTTACCTTGTTGACGCGCATGACAAAAAGAGATTTGCAGAGGCCAAAAAGGAGCTGGATGCCCTCATCTCAGACGATTCACTTGCAAATGTCCCGTTTCTCATACTTGGGAACAAGATTGACATACCCTATGCTGCCTCAGAGGATGAGTTGAGATATTACTTGGGTTTGACTGGTGTTACTACCATCGAAGAATGGAAGAAGCAAGCGAATGTGCGAAGCCATCTAAGGGTAACTTTCATGCCACTGCTGCATGAATGTATATATTGGGAATGTAAAGTTTAGTATGTAGCTTTTACCCTTGTTATCTTGTAGACAGTCTTGCTATTTTTTTGGTGGGGAAAGTTAAGCTGATTCTGTTCTCTCTCTGTGTCTGTGTCTCTTTGTACTTGACATGATTGTAAAGAAATTAAGTTGTGTTGTAATGTTTATGATTGATGGGGAAATGTTCCGATCTTTTGCATTCCATGGCAACTAAGTGTGAAATGTTGTACTTTTGTCCCAAATTCCCAATAGCTTTTGCTAATCAAAGCCCCAAAACTAGTAAGGGCACTCGTGCCCCAGTAAGTTATACTTTTGCCGACTAAATAAAGTAGTCGGTGTATCACCAAGCACATTTGGCGACTAAATAATTAGTCGTTAAAGTTATTAATTTTGGCAACCAAAGGATTTGGTCGCGAATAGGTCTATTGCCGACTAAAGTTTTAGTTGCGCAAAACATGTTTGGTCGCGAAATGTGACAATTGGTGACCAAACAATTTGGTCGCGGAATGTGACAATTGGCGACCAAAATTTTTTGGTCGTGGAAGTCACAATTGGCGACCAAACTTTTTGGTCGCGAAATGTGTCAATTGGCGACTAAGATATTTGGTCGGGAAAATATCACTTTTCGCGACCAAAGTGTTTTAGCGACTAAATGAATTAGTCGCGGTAATAATATATTTAGCGACCAAAAATTTAGTCAGCAAATCTGACTTTTTCCGACCAACCAAAAACTTGGTCGCGAATTACTTTTGCCGACCCTCAATTGGCGACCAAAGTAGCGACCAAAAAAATTGGTCGCGGATAACTTTTGCAGACCAAAAATGGGCTTTTAGCGACCAATTTTTTGGTCGGCAAATTAGTCGCGGTAATAATATATTTAGCGACCAAAAATTTAGTCGGCAAATCCGACTTTTTCCGACCAACCAAAAACTTGGTCGCGAATTACTTTTTACCGACCCTCAATTGGCGACCAAAGTAGCGACCAAAAAAATTGGTCGCGGATAACTTTTGCCGACCAAAAATGGGCTTTTAGCGACCAATTTTTTGGTCGGCAAAAATGTTAATTCTTGTAGTGTTTACTTCTATTTGATTGTTCATTCAATCATTTACATCATCATCTTCTTCTTCTTTCTCTCTTTTTACTTGTTTGTTTTGTCATTATTTTTACTCTAAGGAAGTCCTTGAACTTTCAAGGCATAGAACCTCAACACAATTGCTCGATCATTTTGTTGTTTGGTGAGATTTTGGTTAAGGCTCTGTCGATCTAAGTCTAACAAAAATTTTACTAACAGTTTTTGGCATGCCCGGTGAGACATCGTCCTAACTTGGAGGAAAAAAAAATAATACAAAAAAAATCAAGAAATTATGCCATCAAGTGGCTTGTTTACATCTTGTGCACCCATGGATGCAAACCACCAATGGAGTGGCAATATTCCAATGGGTATGAATTATTATTGGAATGCCTCATCTTTCATGTATAGTGATTGTTAATATTATGACAATGATTCTACCGTCTATTACCAACATAATGGCCTGACAAATGGTATGGAAAGAATAATTCGGCGTTGTGAGGATGAAATTTATTGGCACAATAGTGAAATTTTGGCTCCACAAAATTGGAAAAAATTTCAAATAATTTCATTATTGCCATATTTTTTTATGCAAAAAGATATAAATTATTTTGATGAAAAAATTCGTCAACTTAGTTGTCAATTTTATCTAGTTGATGGAGAAATTCAACATTGGAGTAAAAAATTAGAGAATCTTAAAAAAAAACAAATTTTATGTGTTTCTAAGAGGCTTTTCTAAGCAAAACTTTCTCTCCACAAAATTCATGGCCAAGGAAAAATTAAGTTCTGAAAATGGCATGTCTGAGGGGCAATTTTTTAAGCCATTAATTGAAAAAGAAGACCAACTTCTTTTGCCAAAAGCTATTCAACATTTTAATCTAATTGGAGGATATAGTTTTAAGTCAAATATGACAAAGAATGTTGAACAACCATTACGAAATGATGGTAAACATTCATTTGGAGAGTATGATTTTAAGCCAAACATGGCTAAATTTGATGAACAACCATCACAAAATGATGGTGAACATTCAATTGGAGAGTATGATTTTAAGCCAAAACATAACTGAATTTGATGAACAACCATCACAAAATGATGATGAAAATCTAATTTGAGGGTGAAAAATCTAGAAATCCCCTAGATATTGATTTGTGATTATGTATCAATTTTAAGCAGTATATAACAATCCCAATCAAACAATCAAGACAAATCGACACAATGATTTTACGTGAAAAAACCACAATTGGAGCACCTCCAATTGTGATAAAAAAATCACGGGCAACAGCCACAAAACAATCCACTAAGAAGATATAAAGGAATTACATAGGTATACTCTCAATTACCTAGCGAATTCACGCCCGAATTGAACCAAACCCTATGTGCCTCTTCCAACCCCGTCTTCACCTCGGAATTGTCTTGACGATGAGCCACTCCAGAATCCACCAAAGCTTCAGGCTCGAATTCTTCAGAATCCACCGAAGAACAACTCTCTTTTTTGTATAGAATGAACAAACAAACCTTTGATGTATGCTTCTTAAAGCATGAGTTAAATACTCAACGAAACATCAAAGAAAACTAACAAAATAGCCTCATATATAAACCCTAGAACCCAAGAAGAAGATCTGGAGGCGTAATCTTAGATTCGGACTGAAACATGTATTTATAGAAAACTGTCCCGCGATCCCCGCTAGAGCGTCAAATTGGTCGCTCGAGCGGACCTACGCTCGAGCACGGAAAGTTCTGCTCGATCGGGAAAAAACAACATCCAGTATTTTTGCAGGCAAAAAAATTTCTGAAGCTCAGCATTCTCCGCTCAAGCGGGGGAATGTCCGCTCGAGCGGACAAGCAACTTTGAATGCATTTTTGCATTTTGCTTCGGGGGCAGTGCCCCTCGATCCCGCCGTGGTGCTGCCCCCTGGACCACCGCGAGCTGACCGGGCAGCTCGATCCCCGTCATAATCAGCGAAGTGGCAATCTTGAAAGAATTAACATCACAAAACTTCTCTGCAAGGCACAATTCGGGTTGGATTCGCATCTAAAAACTCATAGCCTTACTAAAATAAAAGTGCGAACAAAATTACAACACAAAGAAGTTTTGTCAAACGGGATTGCCAAGAATAAAAACCTAACAGAGGGTATGGTTTTAAGCCAAACATGGCTAAATTTGATGAAAAAACATCACAAAATGATGGTAAAAATTCAATTAGGGGGTATGATTTTAAGCCAAACATGGCTAAAATTATGAACAATGCACATTTGATGAATTTGAATTTTTTGACATGGTTAATTTTGCTAAAAAATTTTAATTTTCTAAAGTCAATTGACATTATGATTTCTGTCATTCAACAACTATAATGGCTTTGTGGTTCACATCAAAAAATAATTTTGATGAAGTGGTTTACAAAAAGAAATTTTGAATTTTATTTCTATTTTTTATATAACAGTAGTGGGGGAGTATTTCGATGTGGCCACAACAACAAAAAACTATATATATATGGCCAATCGATTATGATTTTCATACTTTCTATTATATATTTATGTTCATACAACTTTTCAAGAATTTGAATACTCATTCTTAAAGAGTTGAGGGTGCATTATTTCCACCATAAATAAAATTTCTGTTGATTATAACTAGGTTTAAACTTTCTATTACTTATTATTATTATTATTATTATTATTATTATTATTATTATTATTATTATTATTATTATTATTATTATTGTTATTATTATTATGATTATGCAGGAAAATCTTGAAAGTTAGAGAAATTAAGTCAAGTTTTGAAGATCCAAGAGATGGAGGACAAGTGCAATGTAAGAAGGTGAAATTATATGGGTGGTTAGATGATAGTTCATAGAAGTTTTTTTTATACATTTTTCCTTGTATAAATTGCCATTGATGGCTCTATTGTAAAGGGGGACCAACAAATCATACATGACTTGATTTTCATTTATTTTCTATCCTATGAGTAGATCTAATCTACATAGGAGTAGTCTAAACTTAAATAGGATTAGTCTTAACATACTTTACTGTGTGGAAGTGGTTTGGAAATTACCCTTCGAATCCTGGAGACGCTAGGAGTCCTCAGATAGTCACTTGAAAATGAAATAAAACACTCTGACGTGAGTGCCGGAATTAGCACTCCGACGGAGAAGTCAGTCTCAAGCTCTAGGTTATTTGTTATTCTAAGTTAAACAAGGAAATTCTTACCCTTCTTTTTTTCTGCCCTATCTTTATCTGTAGTTCTTGATTTATACTTGTTTCCTGGGCCTCGGGGCAGGGCCTACTATTGTCCTCTCTCATATTCGGCTCCTGGATTTACGCTTATCCGGCACTATCTATTAGTTTTCGGCCTTGCTGAGCGGTGGCCGGATAACGCCGAATAGTGTCTTTTCTGCGAGTACGCTCTCCCGGCATTGCCAATTATTCGGCTCCCACAATTGCCCCCCAAACTCACCATTGACAGTGGTTAACTGGCGTGTTTGGTTTTGATTCTGAAAAGCCAAGACATAAGTTAGGCGGCTTTGCCTATCCCAATGTGTCAGAGCGCGCACGTCTTTTTGGTCATCATTATGCTTTCCCGCCTCATTCGTGCACCTTTTGCATTTAATACAATTTGAAACTTCAGTCCTTTCGAATGCATGCTTTTCTCAAATACTTGGGCCTCCTGGATTCCCAGCCGGTATCGCTTTTCTAATGCTTTTCTTTGTAA